CCTTTTTAAAGCTGAATTGAATGGTGGTGGGTTTTTTAAAATCCAATGTGTGGATCACATAATATTTCAAAAATTTTGACTTTTGAGTACAGATGATCCGCACGTAGAAAGTGATGCCCTCAGAAAAAAATTTTTATATCATTTTATTGGCTATCAATAGCCGATTAACCGTTTAAAGGGATAAAAATATGGGGGAAATTTCATATTAAAAGATCGACAAAAAAAATCAAAATCATAAAATACATTTTTCAATATCGAAACCCAAAAAACCAACACTACATACAAAGAAAAATTTTTTTTTTTACATAATTAAAGACAATAAAAAATACATAAATATGTTCTTTGAGATTTATTTTATTTATATACACAAAAAAAATTTTTCTTGCAAGACAAAAGTATAGTAATTTTTCTTTATAAAAGGTTACCGACTAGTGTTTTTTTCGTCAATTTTCCCCGCCGATCACTATGTAGTATTCACTGATTCATAGACGGATCGTCAATTAAAAAAGGTTTGGTGATAAAATTATCAAATGATCATAGAAAAATCCTGATTCTTAACTTATCGAGTGAGCCGATTTTCATATGTATTGGTGCAATGGTTGTCCCACAATGATTTTGCTCAGTTAAAGTTTTAATAGTAAATTGGATATTTTTCTCAAAACATCATTCCATAACATGATCCATTTCTATTGTCCAGGCCCATATTATTATTGTGGATGACAACCATCCATAAGAAGAGCAACAACCCAACGATTACACCTGCAATTACAGTAGAAAGAGGAGGGGGAGAAATATGTGAGATTTGTACAAGACTATCTGGCGGTGGAGTTTTCACTTGTAAATAATAAATATGCTTTATTGCAATCAAATTTTGTATTATGTAAATTTCGAGATAACAATATCATACTTATTGTATATAGTTAAGTTCCTCCTCTCAAAAAATCCCTTTCCTTATATATAATTAAATTCCCAAGGAAATGTTCTATTTCTAAATCCCATGACTACAGTATAAAATGTTTCAAATTACGCTGAAGATTTTGAGTATGGGTTAATTAGGAGTAAATATCAGACCTTTTGGCTTATTTTCAAGCTAATAAAGCTTTTAGTTGAACATGATGAGATCAAATTAACGCTTTTTTCTAATTCTTTATAAATTCATTTGATTTTCCTTTCATGGTCAATTTGACAGCGTGATTATCTCAAAGGGAGATAATCACGCGTAATTTTTAATTATAGATTTCAAATTCACACTATTGCCATCAATATTATTACCATTTTCGCAATTATAAATGACATGACTACTTTGAGTTCTCTAAGGATAGTAATTATACGCCTGAAGAATTATTGCGGCTTTAATACTCAAATAAAACCAGAAGAGATGCAAAGAATTAGATTAGAGAGAATTCGTTTAACTGAAGAAAAGGGAATTAAGTAAATTTAAAAAATCTATATGTGTCCAAGTTTATTGGAGTCGAAAGTTAGTTTGAAAGTTGGGGACGCTCTAGGAAAAACGGGTTTTCAAGTAATATATAAAAATTTTTTAAATTTTGTTACACGGAAAATATACCTTTACGATTTCTGTGTAATATTGATTAATAAAGCATGTATTCATTCATTCACCTTTAAAATTTAAATTTTATAGAAAGGTTAAATTATAATAAAAATTATGAATTAGTAACATTCTATGGGGTCTCCATGACTATTAAATTATTTATTATTATGAAATATGAGTTTGTAGAACATTTTTTCGATTCAAAATTTATTTTTGTACTAAGTAAACAGCATCTAACTTTTTCACCAATTATAATCATGATGTTATAGTTTATTTAAATGTTATGTAAAAAAATTTTTTTTGATCAAAAGTTTCGAAACCCGGTTTTCCTATATAGAGCGTCTCTCAATTCTCATAACAGGATATTTATACATTTGATGTACTACTTGCATTTTTGACTAGCTGGTGGTGTGTGCACTCTTTCCTTCAACATTTCTCTAATTATTTGTGAGATGTTGTTTGGCCTTTACTAGTTCTAAATATAATCTTTATCTATATCTTTTGTTCTTACTCTGTCTTTTTTTTTTCTAGAATAGAAGAAAAATGTCAGGATGTGCATAACTTGAAAACCAAACTTTACCAAACCCAAGAAACTTTTTGTGCCAATTTTTATGATAAATAACAAACTGTTGAAGCCCGCCATGAAATTTTTGTCATTATGTTCCCTACATTGCCGTCATTCAGTCCTCTGGTTATGGTAAATCAAGAGGTTGTAAGGATATTTACACCTTGATTTTGGCATTGATTTCCACGTCCAATTGATTATGCAAAGCTGATTATACATAGCTTTCAATCCTCACGTGATTCAGTTTCTTGGTTCAATGGTTTGTTGGAAAATGAGTGTTCTTTATAGAAAAAGAATCAATATTTCCAAATGAGTCATGGAAATGACAAGAAGAGGGCGGAAGAATTTTCTGGATGAATACGCTGAAAGTTACAAATAGCAATGAAATCTATTGGTAAATTCAATCCAGAATCAAAAACTGGGCTAGGTCAATATCTAAAACGATTCAAAATGATGATTGTAACATTAAAATTTTACTTTGCATTGATAAGGAAGAAAATGTACAAAGGTGTTGAACGAGCATTGTAATATAACTTTATTTCGATGTTGAAGACGTTCACTTCAAACAATCCATGAAGAGGCCAGAACCTCTTTTAGATATTACATCTCATGCCTCAAACTTGGTAATATCCAATAAGAACGATCCAACCTTGAAAGAACTTTCAACTTATCATTTATTCTCACCATTTATCAATGTTTTCACTTTTAACTCCCTAGCCATTGATGAGCATTTCCAGAGTAAATGATGATGTGTATTGCAAAAAAAACCGATTGCAAAGGCTTGACAGTAAAACTACGAGGTGAACAAAAGTCTCAAACCCTGGTCCCAAGAAAGAGACACCTCATAATAACGACAGTTAACTACTCCATTTGTTCTGTTGACATTTTTTTACAAGAAAAGCTTGTTTTGAATATACTTCTGAACCATTAGCAATTGAAGCGGTGCTCAAATTCTTGGGAAAGGATCTATTGATAAATTCTTAAACAGGAGATTGTAGAGCCAGGAAAACGTGCTGATCTCCTTCTACTGACATGCAAAGCAAGCAGATAAAGAGAAAATGAGCATTTTATACGGATAGTATCAGCCCGAATGATTTCTTGGAGGACTTGCTTGTTGGAAACATTGCGTGACAAGAAGAAATCGGCGAACGTGGATATTTAAAAGTGCCGAGATATATTCATCACTATTGAAAGAGTTCTACTTTACAATGAATATACTTGTCGAGGCTTCTAAGACCTGTATGGTGTTTAACTTGAGATGCAACCATAAAAGTGCTGAAATCTTAAATCCCAGTTAAAGCCGGACCTGCATAACAAATTCTATCGTTGATTGGTAGACCACTAATTAAGAAGTTTGATTGACAAACGCACCATTATAAGATCCTCATCAAGATGGTAAATAATTGGTATTTGCTTTTCATAATCAGTAATAATATTAATATTATTATATATATATATTTACATGTCAAGGCAGCACACCGTTGAAAAAGAAACATTTTGAATGTACAAGGACAAGGTTTGATTACCACATATGTCGGGGGTGATATGTCTGGATTAAGATACAAGGACAAGGTTTGATTACCAGATATGTTTGGAGTAAGATATGTGAGGGTTAAGGTATGGGCTTGGGGTCATACCTTAACCTTGACATGTCTTACCCCCGACATATCTTACCCCAGGCGTTAAAGCATGCACACTGTCTTGGACACTACAGTCATTCTCGCGTTCCTCATTTACACAAGGCTAATCTTTACCAAGTTACTCTCAAAGGGATATAATGATGCAAACAGAGTTCCAGGGAGGGGGCTGACTTGGGCCTGGAATTTCCATCCAACAACCAATCGTCAACAATGTTTTCACTAATCTTCCCTCACAGCACCCAAACCAGAGAAGGCTCTTTAATTTTCATTTGACCAACATTGGTGCGCCTAAATTCTGGGAAAACCAAAACAGCAACCCGTTGCAGACACTGACTTTATTCTAGAGGGATATAACACAAAGCAATCATCACACAAATGCAGTGATCAATGCCCATACGGCAACAATCAAGCCTGGTCCGAGGGGAAAATAAGGGAAAGTTTTTGTTGACTTTATAAAAAAACCTTCAAACATTGGGGAGCCTTCGATTGTGGTAAAAATTTCTGCAATTATGGAGGCGTGCAAAAGCATGACCATTGTTTGTGGTAAGGAAAATTTAATTAAATCTGGCACCTGTGATCAACATCAGATTTATTATTGGGAAGGAAAACCCTCCCTATTTATTTATTCTTGTGAACTACTGGTAGACATGCATTATTAAAAAAATTTATTTTTGCATGGCCTTGGTATTATTACTACTTGGGTGATACAATCGTTTGTTATATCAATGACAACATCAAATGTATTGAATAATTATCACGAATATTTAATGGATACAGATATTCACAGAAGGAAAGGATTAAATAACAACAAAAAAACTAATTTCGTTTTTTTATCAACCAAAATATATAATTAATTAGGTTTAAAGATTATTAACTTATTCCACTTTTTTACAATATATTAATTATGATATATTCTTCTAAGATCTGGCAGTGTACGATCAGAAAGAATTGTTACACGGCCATATTTTATTATTTTAGAAAACAGGTAGAAAATTCAACAACAAAAATTCTACGGTGCAGATCATCTATAATCATTAATTGCTTATAGTAACAATTGGTCAACTTCAAAATACTAAAACAAAAAAAATTATATCATTTTAAAAATTTTAACCGATAAGCTTTATTGTTCATGGCTCAAGCTTCAAAACTTATCGGCTAGTTTTTTCTTAAACTGAAAATTGGCTGAGCCTTAGCATTTTGAAAATTCCCGAATTTTGTTGTACACTAAGAAATTGAGACTAAGTAAATTTCGTTTAACAACTTTTTTTTCATAGAATATTTTTTACTACATTTCCTTTTTTTTATTAATAAATAAAAGTTCTTTACAACAAAAAAGTTTAACATTAAAAGAAAATCATTATCAAATTTGGTCGTGAGATTCAAAATAGTGTGACACGAAAATTATTGTTGCATAACTTTCAAATTAGATTAATAGACTCCGAATTGAATGGTGGCGAGTTTTTAAAAATCCAATGTGTAGATCACATAATCTTTCAAAAATTTTAACTTTTAAGTATAGATGATCTGCACTGTAGTTGATATATTCTTGTAATAACAATTGTACTACTATTATTATTCACTTTTTTCTGATCTGGTGGTGTACGATCAGAAAGAATTTTTACGCGGCCATATTTTTAGAAAACAGGTAGAAAATTCAACATCAAAAATTCTGGTTAACAGGAATAGCTTAATTCGTGATCCATCAGTGAAGGAAAGGATATACATAGTAAAATTCCGGGATAAGCATCGTAGCAAAATCAATTAGTGTCCATAATCTGGAACCGCTGCAGAAATAGCACAATATTTTACATGTAGATTTGTACTTTAAAATTTACCAAATAAAAAAAACTCAGAGTATCTGACCATCTTTTTAAATTTATAAAAATAGCTCCAAAATTTCTAAACATATGCGCTGATTTTGTTTGAACCCCAAAATCCAGTACGGTATGATCATAACGTTATGAATACTTTATACTAGCAAAAACCCATTGGTTTTGAGGTGGGGCCATTGGTTTGACGGGTTGATGGATAGTAAATTAGTTTTTTTAGCGGAGCAAATAATTTCTTTTAGGGTAATTATCATTCTACCGACCAGTTTACACATTAAAAATACTCGTGTTTAACTTCGAGACACAATAAGACGTAAGGTTTGAAAAAAGGCCCAAAAAACCAAATCGGCTGATATGAGTTACATAATCCAGAATTGTTTTGTCTAAAATCAAAACAAATATTATTTGGCTAAAACATGCAGGCAGATCTTTCATTGAAAAATGATTTATATGAAGAAAAACTTGGCGAGAGCTTTATTAAATGGTCATACAACTTCCAAAACCATGTATTACGTGTATTTTTAACTGCTTTGCAAGCCTACCAAAAAATAGTCAATAGTTTCAAATTATAATCATAAAGTTACCAAAAAAATGGATGTTTCAGATTTAACATTCAAATCTAACCATGCTTCTAAAGTTGGTATCTGTAACTGATTTGAAATTCTGCAACCAGTTGCGACCTAGGTTTAAACATCCCAAATTGCAATTTCTTAGATCAGACGCCAACTTTACACGCCTCAATAATTATTGGTTTAAATATAGCTGTTTTGACCCGTGATAGTTTATTAATCTATTAAAATTAATATCATAAAATTTCCCTCTATTATTATTATATGTAACAATTACTGTTAGTTTTTCCTAGATATAAATAAACAGTAAAAATCAATAAAGTCAATCAATAGCTACTATTGTGGTTATTAAATATATTTAATAATATTATTATTCTGGAACACATTCTAATTATTTTATATATTTAAATATATGAATTTATACCCACAATCCAGGACCACTCCTTAAATAACAGAAAACTGACAAATTTAATAGCCCATATATTTATAAGTAAATATAGCTTTTTACTTTTGATTTACATAGGTTGATATAAAATTTTTTTTATGTAACATAATAAATGCATGACTTTCTATGGGGGCAAAAAATCGATTACTATTATTATTACTATGAAATTTAAAAAATTTGCCCGGATCGGCATTAATTAAATCCTTTCCTTAACTGGTGGATCACGAATTAAATGTACATTTTGTTTTTAGTAATAAACAAATCAATGATACAATCCAAAAAACAGGATAAATGATAGTAAGATTAAATAGCATCTTTAGCTAATAAACAATAAACAGTTCAATTGTCAATTAATTAATAATTAAATGATGCTTTTCTTATAAAAAGTAAACAAATGATGTGATTTTTTCAATCTTTTCAAAAAAAAATTTATTCAATTTCCTTCCAATTTCCTTTGACAAATAATACAATATCATCATCCATTCTAAGAAATCAAAAGAACATTTTAAACCAAAAGAACAATTTTTTTTCTCAACCATTTTTTTTTTCATGATTAGAATTTTGTCAATTCTGTTTTATCATTTTTAATGTTAATATATACAAGCAAACAAAAAGCTCCCAGTGATGACAAAGTAGAGATTCTTGCAAAAAAAAATTAATATAGAAACAGATATACCATATGCAGAATCTTCTAAAAATGCAGCTAAAAGAAAAGCAAATGAGGACATAAA